ACTGTGCCTGGCCTAAGAACACATATTATTAAGACAGCAACTAGCATTTATTGAGCATTTACTATATGTTTGATAAGTATTATCTCATTTAATCTTTATAATCACTCTATGAAGGGTGATTTACATGTAGACAATAAATATAGTGGTAAATATCAGCTCACCACTAGGTATTACCATCCCCATTCACCAAAACCAAGACACTCTCTAGCAGCCGAGTACAGTGGCTCACAACTGTAATCCCAGCACTTTGGGAGGCCAAGGCAGGCAGATCACTTGAGGTCAGGAGTTCGAGACTCGCTTTGGCCAACATGGTGAAACCCCCTCTCTACTAAAAATACAAAAATTGGCCAGGCACGGTGGCTCATGCCTGTAATCCCAGCACTCTGGGAGGCCGAGGCGGGAGGATCACAAGGTCAGGAGATCGAGACTATAGTGAAACCCTGTCTCTACTAAAAATACAGAAAAAAATTAGCTGGGCGCAGTGGCGGGTACCTGTAGTCCCAGCTACTCAGGAGGCTAAGGTCGGAGAATGGCATGAACCTGGGAGACGGAGCTTGCAGTGAGCCGAGATCGCGCCACTGCACTCCAGCCTGGGCGACAGAGACAGACTCTGTCTCGGAAAAAAAAAAAAAATACAAAAATTAGCTGGGCATGGCGGTGTGTGCCTGTAATCTCAGGTATTCGGGAGGCTGAGGCCGGAGAATTGCTTGAAGCCAGGAGGCAGAGGTTGCAGTGAGTCAAGATGGTGCCACTGCACTCCAGCCTGGGTGACAGAGTAAGACTCTGTCTCATAAAAAAACAAAAAAACAAAACCACCACCGTCTCTTACCATGGTAGGTAAGTTGAAAGATCTCCTTAGACTGAATCCTGGCTCCATCCTTACCAACTGTGTGACCTGAAGTAGATTACTTTCTCTCTCTGTATCTGTTCTCCTTCTCTAAAAAGTGAAGATAGTACCATCTCTCTCATTGAACTATTGTGAAGACTAAACGAGTTAACACAGCTAAAGCCCTTATAGGGAACAGTACCCAACTCAATGTAAGAGCTATATTTTGAGCCTGGGCAACAAAGTGACAACCTGTCTCTATGCAAAAATCAAAATTTAGGCTGAGCGTGGCGGCATATGCCTATGGTCCCAGCTACACGGGAGGCTGAAGCAGGAGGATCACTTGAACCCAGGAGATCGAGGCTGTGGTGACCCGTGATCATGCTACTGCACTCCAGCCTGGGCAACAGAGCCAGATAAAAAAAAAAAAAAAAAAAAAGCTATATATACACATACATACATATAGGTGTATATATACACACATACATACATAGGTATATATATACATATATACACATATAGGTGTATATACACATGTATATATGTGCGTATATACACGTGTATATATGTATATCTGCATATACACACATATATATACACATATATACATATATATATAGAGAGAGAGAGAGATAGGGTTCTATGTTACCCAGGCTGGTCTCAAACTCTTGGGCTCAAATGATCCTCCCACCTTGGCCTCCCAAAGTGCTGGAATTACAGGCATGAGCCACCACACCTGGCCTATATTTTAGCCTATATTTTACGTTTCATTTTTGTTGTCGTTTAGGGTTTTTTTTGTAATTGCTTTTTTTGTTTTTCTATGTTCTATTTCTTACTGCTGTTAGCAGCAGTAGTATAAGGCAGATGAGAAAGTGTAGTTCCTAGAGGTTGAGTAACTTGACTACATGCTTTTCACCCTGACACTACACCGTTACATTCTCGGGCTACTACCATGAAAAGGAAAACTCAGTACTACAGCTACTGTGAATTTAACACAGTGACAACCCCAAGGTCTTTGGTGGGTGTTTTAACTACACTCTCATCAATCCTCGCCTTCACTGACCCGATGAGAAAACCGGGGCTTCCAGTGGGGTTGGATACAGACCAAAGATGGTTTGATTTTAAAATCAACCCTCTTTTGGCCGGGCACAGTAGCTCACGCCTGTAATCCCAGCACTTTGGGAAGCCGAGGCGGGCGGATCGCTTGAGTTCAGTTCAAGACCAGCCTAGCTAACAAGGCGAAACCCCATCTCTACTAAGAATACAAAAATTTGCTGGGCGAGGTGGCAGGCACCTGGAATCCCAGCTACACAGGAGGCTGAGGCAGGAGGATCTCTTGAACCCAGGAGGTGGAGGTTGCAGTGAGCAGAGATCATGTCACTGCACTCCAGCCTGGGCGAGAGAGTGAGACTCCATCTTAAATAAAAAAAAAATAATAATAAATAAATAAAATAAACCCTCTTTCCATACCACCCAGAGTGACCATATTCCCAGTTGGCCTGGGGCAGTCCTGGTTTACAGCCAATGTCCCAATGTTCACTCTCAAATTGGATGACAAATTATATGGTCACACTAACCATCCCCTACTACCTCTTGGCTGTTTACAGTTGATCAGACGCCTCTGTAGTGTCTCTCAGGGACCATATGTAAATCTAACCTAATCCTAACACGATCAGTGGTAAACCCATACCAAAATGCCTGCTGGAAAACGCCACTTCAGCACTAATCATGAACAAACGCTGGGAACTCTTTTTTTTCATTCCAGCATTTCTTGAAGAAAGCTAGCTAAATATTTCTTTAAATTTGACGTGTTGACACCTTGTTTAATCAAGTCATCCAAGAGTGATATTTTCCTTTGTAATATGCATTTGGAATACAATATATAGGCCTGCATAATTGTGCTAGTCAAAAAAACCTCCAGTTCTCTGGCCTCCTAGAGCCCCCCTACACCACTGGAATGGCTCCAGTACCACCAAAACAATCTATGTGGGAGGCAGGAGACAGCCCCTGGCCATGCATTCAGAAACACAGAAAAGAGCAAAGTCAGCCAGGCAGTGTGGCTCATGCCTGTAATCCCAGCACTTTGGGAGGCTAAAGCACAAGAATCACTTGAGGCCAGGAGTTCAAGACCAGCCTGGGCAACATAATGAGACGCGCCCCCCTCCCCGCCCCACATCTCTAAAAAAAATTTAAAATTAGCCAGGTGTGGTGGCATGCGCCTGCAATCCCAGTTACTCAGGAAGCTGAGGTGGGAGGATCACTTGAGCCCAGGAGGCAGAGGTTGCAATGAACAGAGATCAAGCCACCGTACTCCAGCCCCAGTGACAGAGTGAGACCCTGTTTCAAAAAAAACTCAAAATTACTAAATGAGCTTTACGGCAGATGTGAGCAGGCAAAAGAAAGAATCACAATCAGTGAACTTGAAAATAGGCCAACTGAGATTGGCCAGTCTAAGAAACAAAGAAAAAAAGGCCAGGTGCAGTGGCTCATACCTATAATCCCAGCACTTTGGGAGGTTGAGGTGGGAGAATCACTTGAGCTCAGGAGTTCGAGACCAGCCTGGGCAAAATAGCAAGACCCATCTCTACCAAAAAAATTAAAAATTAGCCCGGCATGTTGGCGCACACCTGTATTCCCAGCTACATGGGAGGCTGAGGCAGGAGGATCTCTTGAGCCCGGGAGGTCGAGGCTGCAATGAGCTATGACACCACTGCACTCCAGACTGAGTGACAAAGGGAGCCCCTGTCTCTAAAAATTAAATTTAAAAAAAAAAAATCCCCTTTCTGAGTTGTTCATTGAAACACCTCAGCTGGTATACATTTTCAATGGACTTTCGAATTTTGCTTTCCTAACATCAGAACTCCTGCAGTCACGCTGGCCTGAGTGAGAATCCCACCGCATATAAACAGCTAGCAGCGGTGGGGCCTCGGGCCTCAACCTCTCTGGGCCTCTCCTTCCTCCCCTGTAATTGGGGATAACAATTGTCGACTCAGTGCGTCCTAAGCGAATGACACGACCCGGCACAACATTTGGCACTGCCACCCAATAAATGTTGATGGCCACTCCTAACGCCTTCCCCTCCCGGGCTTGCAGCCAGCTCGAGAGTCGTCCTCCCTGAAGTCTGGCCACCCAGAAGAGCCAGCTTCTTGAAGAGAGGCGAATACGGTCGACGGAGGACGGGAGAGCGCAAGAGAGGAAGGGAGGGAGGAAGCCGCGGCCCGCACCTTTTGGTCCAACTCCAGGCGATAGGGCACGGGCTGGATCCTGCGGCGCTGCCGGGCGCCGGCGCGGGGCCCGGGGCCGGAGCTGGGCACCACAAAGGTGGGCACGCCCAGCGCCCCGGAGAAGCTGAAGCCCCACACGAAGACGCGATCGGCGCGGACAGCGCGCTCGCCCACGTATTGGAACACGGGCACCTCGGCCTCGGCTTCTGCCGCTTCGCGCCGGCTCCGCGAGCGCCTGGCCGCCGTCCAGTGCCCTCGCCCCAGCCCCGGCCCGCTCAGCCGCCGCCCCAGCCGGGCCCCAGCCACCAACGCCACCAGCGCCATCCTCCGCTCCACGCCTCAGCAGCCTCTGGGCACCGCCATCTTGCGTGACCCTTGACACCACGCCTCGGCGGAAGAGGTTGCGGCCACCTTTACTCCTGGTTGAAGGCAAAGGCGCTGACGGCAGCCCAAGGCTCAGGGGTGCGGGGCTGGGCTTGGAGGGGCAGGGCGATAATGAGGGGCGGGGTTAGGGGCGGGATTAGGATTCTTGTGCCTTAGGAAAACTCCGTGTCTTGTTTTGCTCCCTTGCAATTGCCCCTCGACATTTCTCACCTGGCCTTGCTGCAGCCTTCCGCGCTCCGGTCTGCTCCCACGCCGCCCCAGGCCGTCCTCCAGCCACAGCGAGCTGGAGTGGGCGATTCCCTGCTGCCTTCGCTTCCCCTGCCCAGGTCCCCTCAAACCTATTACTCACCTTTAGACAGACAGCTCACTGCAACCTCCCCCTCCCGGGTTCAACTGAATCTCGTGTCCCAGCCTCCCGAGTAGCTGGGACCACAGGCGTACGCCACCACGCCCGGCTAATTTTTGTATTTTTAGTAGAGACGGGGTTTCACGATGTTGGCCAGGCTGGTCTTGAACTCCTGACCTCCAGTGATCCACCCACCTCGGCCTCCCAAAGTGCTGGGATTACAGGCATGAGCCACCGCCCCCGGCCTGTGCAGGCCTGTTTTATGGAAGGTGACTGGGGAACACCCACTGATAAAATGTGGTGACTGCAAGACTGCTCATGGAAAGCCTCTTACTACAGGGAGTAAAATTCATGAAGGCACTGAAACCACCAGTCTGCCTGGCTATGAAATCTCTTCTCTGCGGCGGACCAAGTCTTCCAGCAATTTGGAAGACAAAGGTGGGAGAATCACTTGAGAGTTCGAGACCAGCCTGAGCAACATAGTGGACCCTTTCTCTACAAAAAAATTTAAAAATTAGCTCAGCGTGATGGTGTGCACCTGTGGTGCCAGCTCCTTGGGAGACTGAGGCAGGAGGATGGCTTAAGCCCAGGAGTTTGAGGCTGCAGTGAGTCATGATTGCACCACTGCACTCCAGCCAGCACAACAGAGTGAGACCCTGTCTCTGAAAAAAAAAAAAAAAAAAAAAAAAATTAAATTAAATTAAATGTAAATATAAAAGTAAAAATAAATGTGTCCATGGACCCACCTGGTAGTAAGTTCCCTGGCACCCAAGGACACATTTGGGATAGATACACTTAGCCGCTCACATTGGTCCCCTTACCCTGTCTCGACCCAACCAGTATTCAATCAGAACCCACACTGTTTGCCACATGGAATTGTAGACGCTAGTGCCACCTTCAAAGATATAAAGGATTCAGAGGGGTGGTGATTCCTATCCAATGGGTGGCTCTCCATTGAGTTCACCTGTTTGGCTCCTAAAAAAATGATGGATTGGCCAGGCACAGTGGCTCACGCCTGTAATCCCAGCACTTTGGGAGGCCGAGGTAGGTAGATCACGAGGTCAAGAGATGGAGACCATCCTTTCCAACATGGTGAAACCCTGTCTCTACTAAAAATGCAAAAATTAGCTGGGCATGGTGGCATGCACCTGTAGTCCCAGCTATGTGGGAGGCTGAGGCAAGAGAATCGCTTGAACCCGGGAGGCGGAGCTTGCAGTGAGCCGAGATCGTGCCACTGCACTCCAGCCTGGCGACAGAGCCAGGCTCCATCTCAAAAAAAAAAAAAAAAAGATGGATTGTGGTAGGGAACAGGACCACCATACATTTAGGTGAGTGCATTAAGTTCATGGTCCAACTCATAGCTGCTGTGTCAAGTGTGCCATCTGTTTTTTTGTTTGTTTTTGAGACAGAGTCTCTATCACCCAGGCTTGAGTGCAGTGGCGCAATCTCAGCTCACTTCAACCTCTGCTTCGTGGGTTCTAAGTGATTCTCCTACCTCAGCCTCCTGAATAGCTAGGATTACAGGCACCCACCACCCCGCCTGGCTACTTTTTGTATTTTTAGTAGAGACAGGGTTTCACCATATTGGCCAGGCTGGTCTCGAACTCCTGACCTCAGGTGATCCATCTTCTGACCTCAGGTGATCCACCTACCTTGGCCTCCATAAGTGCTGGAATTACAGGTGTGAGCCACCGCGCCTGGCCCAACGTCTGGCCTTTTACAAACGCATAATGATGATAGGATAGTAGGTTTTAATTTTTTTTAATTTGTCAATATTTTAATAACCCTATGTGAGTCTCTCAAATTTCTAAAACATTTTACTATTAAGGGATATCCAAAGGACATAAGCCTTGGTTTAGTATTTTGAAGACAAAGGACAAACTGCAATGTGAACGACAGCCACGGGGTGGCAATACTTACCCACCAATTCTGTCTCTTAAGACCGGCTAAAACATCCTAAATGTCTATTTGGCCAATAAAGAGCTGGATTTGTAGCCACAACTGGGCTTTTCTATTTTGCTATCAAAACTTGGTTGGTTTTGAAGACTGGTTGTATGCTAGAAAATACTTGCTTTTCTGGCTGAGCACAGTGGCTCACGCCTCTAATCCCAGCACTTTGGGAAACCGAGGCAGGTAGCTCACCTGAGGTCAGGAGTTCAAGACCAGCCTGGCCAGCATGATGAAATGCTATCTCTACTAAAAATACTATCTCTACTAAAAAAAATTAGCTGGGCGTGGTGGCAGGTGCCTTTAATCCTAGGTACACAGAAGGCTGAGGCACGAGAAATGCTTGAACCCAGGAGCAGAGGTTGCGATGAGCCGAGATTGCGCCACTGCTCTCCAGCCTGGGTGACAGAGAGAGACTCCGGCTCAAAAACAAACAAACAAAAATGAAAAAAACTTGACTAGTTTTATAGACTAGTTCTATGCTAGAAAATACTTGCATTTCTGTCCAAATTTTTGCTTGGAAAAGATGGTACTACTGTCAAACTATCAGCTATCTCAGAGTATCCAAATGTCTGCAAATGTTAGCCAAGCTAATTTCTTCACCACTTATGATGATATTTTCCTGTACGCATTCTAATTATTTTGACGTTTGATGTAGCTGAAATTCTCTAGTCTGGGAAAGAGTGAACGTAGCTAACCTTACATTTGTTTGTTTGTCTGTTTTTGAGACAGAGTCTTACTCTGTTGCCCAGGCTGGAGTGCGGTGGCAGGATCTTGGCCCACTGCAACTTCCTCCTCCAGGATTCAAGCGATTCTCCTGCCTCAGCCTCCCAAGTAGCTGCAATTACAGGGGCCTGCCACCACGCCCAGCTAATTTTTGTATTTTCAGCAGAGTCGTGGTTTCACCGTGTTGGCCAGGGTAGTCTTGAACTCTTGACCTCAAGTGATCTACCAGCCTTGCCCTCCCAAAGTGCTGGGATAACAGGCATCAGCCATGGTGCCCAGCCTAACCTTACAGGTTTTAATTTGTATTATTATTAACTTTATACAATTAATGTATCATGCAGTTCCTTGTAAAAAAATAATAAATTGGTCGGAAGCAGTGGCTCATGTCTGTAATCCCAATATTTTGGGAGGCTGAGGCGGGCAGATCAGCCTGCGTCAGGAGTTCAAGACCAGCCCGGCCAACATGGTGAAACCCCGTCTCTACTAAAAATGCAATAATTAGCTGGGCGTGGTGGTGGGCGCCTGTAATCTCAGCTACTTGGGAGGCTGAGGCAGGAGAATCACTTGAACCTGGGAGGTGGAGGTTGCAGTGAGCCAAGATTGTGCCACTGCACTCCAGCCTGGGCGACAGAGCAAGACTCCATCTCAAATAATAATAATAATAAATTTAAAAACATTATATATGGGTATGGCTAAAGGCTCCTTTAACCACAGTCTCACATATACATCTTGCCATATAAAAAACATTATTTTGGCCAGGTGTCATGGCTCACATCTGTAATCCCAACACTTTGGAAGGCCAAGGCTGGAGGATTGCTTGAGGCCAGGAGTTTGAAACCAGCCTGGGCAATAGTGAAACTCCGTCCCTAAAAAAAATTTTTTTAATCGGCCTGGTGTGATGGTGTGTGCCTGTAGCTACTTGGGAAGCCCAGGCAGGAGGATTGCTTGAGCCCAGGAGTTGAAGACCAGCCTGGGCAACATAGCAAAACTCCCATCTCAAAAAATAAAGTAAAATAGGCCAGGTGCGATGTCTCACGCCTGTAATCCCAGCAATTTGGGAGGCTGAGGCGGGCAGATCACAAGGTCAGGAGATCAAGACTATCCTGGCTAACATGGTGAAACCCTGTCTCTACTAAAAAAAATACAGAAAAATTAGCCGGGTGTGGTGGCGGGCACCTGTAGTCCAAGCTACTTGGGAGGCTGAGGCAGGAGAATGGTGTGAACCTGGGAGGCGGAGCTTGCAGTGAGCCAAGATCGCACCACTGCACTCCAGCCTGGGTGACAGACCAGACTCTGTCTCCAAAAAAAAAAAAAAAAAAGAAAGAAATTAAATAAATAAAGTAAAATAAAAATTTTAAAAATAATGATAAATAAGTACATATTTATTTATACATATTCTAAGAGATGACCAAAAAATAAAAATAATTTTTAAAATGTTAATAGATGTTTTCCATTTGTTTTTCATAAGTTGTGCTTCAATATTATGAGTGGGATTTGTTTTTACATATCCCCCAAAAAACCTGATACACGACTTTTTTTCTTTTTCCCAGACAGGGTCTCACTCTGTTAACTAGGCTGGCGTACAGTGGTGCCATCGTAGCTCACTGCAGCCTCTGCAGACTCAATCTCGCCAGCTCTCGTGATCCTCCTACCTCAGCCTCCCAAGTAGCTACAAGACTACAGGCACGCCCCACCACACCTGGACATTTAAAAAAGTTTTTGCAGAGACGGGGGTCTCTCTATGTTGCTCAGGCTGGACTCCAACTCCTGGACTCAAGCAAGTCTCCTGACTCAGCTTCCCAAAGTGCTGGAATTATAGGCATAAGCCACTGTGCCCGGCCCACACTTTTTTTTATTTTTGAGACAGAGTCTTGCTCTTATCGCCCAGGCTGGAGTGCAGTGGCGCCATCTCAGCTCACTGCAAGCTCCACCTCCCGGGTTCATGCCATTCTCCTGCCTCAGCCTCCCGAGTAGCTGGGACTACAGGCGCCCGCCACCATGCCCAGCTAATTTTTTGTATTTTTAGTAGAGATGGGGTTTCACCGTGTTAGCCAGGATGGTCTCGATCTCCTGATCTCATGATCCGCACGCCTCGGCCTCCCAAAGTGCTGAGATTACAGGCGTGAGCCACCACGCCCAGCCCACACTTTTTAAATGTTTGCCAGTCTGCTACCTGAAACATATCTCATTTTTTATTTACTTTATATTTCTGTAATCTCTGGAAAAGTTGAACATCTTATAGTTTCATGTCTCCTCTACTGAGAACTGCAAATCTACTCATATCCTTGGTGACATTTCTATTGGGGTGTCTCTCTTTTTTTTTTTTTTTTTTTGAGATGGAGTCTCGCTCTGTCGCCCAGAGCCCAGGCTGAAGTGCCGATCTCGGCTCACCACAACCTCCGCCTTATGGGTTCAAGCGATTCTCATGTCTCAGCCTCCCAAGTACCTGGGACTGCAGGTGTGCACCACCACGCCCGGTTAATTTTTGTATTTTTTAGCAGAGACGGGGTTTCACCATGTCAGCCAGGCTGGTCTCCAACTCCTGACCTCAGGTGATCTGCCTGCCTCAGCCTCCCGAAGTGCTGGGATTACAGGCATGAGCTAACATGCCCAGACTGGGTCGTTTGTCCCTTATTACTTTGTAGGAGTACTTGATATATTTGCATAAAACCCTTTGTTACCCATCTAAATATTTTCTCTTTTTACTTTTTTTTTTTTTTTGAGATGGAGTCTCACTCTGTTGCCCAGACTAGAGTGCAGTGGCTCGACCTCGGTTCACTGCAACCTCCACCTTCCAGGTTCAAGCAATTCTCTTGCTTCAGCCTCCCAAGTAGCTGGGTTCACAGGCGCCCGCCACCACGCCCAGCTAATTTTTTTTGTATTTTTAGTAGAGACGGGGTTTCACCATGTTGGCCGGGCTGGTCTCAAACTCCTGACCTCAAGTGATCTGCCCACCTTGGCCTCCCAAAGTGCTGGGATTACAGGTGTG